ACGCGTTCTGCTCGCACAAAGGTTCCGGGCTGCAGCGCCGCGCCCTCCTCTGGGCCCTCCTCTCTCCGTGAGGGGCGCGCGAGACCCACAGTGGGCCTCTCGTTTACAAGGCTTTAGGTACTGAAGCTCTGGCCGGTCTTCTCTCCTGGCCAACCCGGCCCGCCCCCCGCGCCCCCAGATCCTTACGTGATAGAAAGGATTCCTAACTACAGCTTCACCTGTTTACCTGGGAGTCTGGGTGCGACGGGCCTTATGATGAACACTGAAGGATGATCAATTTTGGGGGGAGTGGGTAGACTGGTTCTAGTGCTTCCTTGTTGTTAGTTCCTCCTCAGGACCCAAGGCTGGGACCATGGGCCGAGATGGCTGGGGGAATGCCCCCTACTAGAGGCTGAGCCCTCTCGCCCTGCCTTTTCCAAGCCATGGGATCCCTAAACTGCCTCTTCGCACAGTTCTGGGACCTGGGGAGTCTGGCCCATCAAGTAGATTTCCCCAGGCAAAGAGGACTCTCAGCCAAGCTTCAGCAGCTAGAGCTCAGGATCCACCCCCCAGTTTTCCCAGTCTTGAGGTCCCTGGCTTCCCACAAGCAGCGTGAGAACGCTGCACTCTGGATAGAGCCTGGGGCTCCCCTCAGGTCTGGCAGCCCTGGGCCCCTCTTGACAAGGAGTGTAGTGACTTGAGTGGAGCCTGGGCTCCCCTTGGGTAAGTCGCAGTTCCTCAGTTCCCTCTTCTATAAAGGGGTGTTGCGGGGCGGGGTGGGGGAGACCCTGGCTGGAGATGGTCACTACTGGAGGGAAGATGTTAAGTCTCAGAAAGTGTGATAGATCCAGACCATTAAGGAGCTTTGGAGAAGCCGAGGGGAGTGGGTCTTACAAAATCCAGGGCTGGGCCTCTGGGCAGCAACCCACCTTCTCACCTCCACCTCAGCTTTCAAGACTCCTTATTTCCTTCTAATGAAGACATATTGCAGGGGTCTGAGGGGGTGGTGCTTAGAGTGGAGCAGGGAATAAAGGGGGCAGGGCTCTTGGGTTTCCTGTATTTCAAGGGATAGGCCCTCCCTGGCCTTGGATCTGTATTTGCATCACTGACCATCTGGGTGATAAAGTCATCTCATGGCCTATGTGGCTCAGTGGTTGAGCATCGACCTATGAACCAGGAGATCATGGTTTGATTCCCGGTCAGGATATATACTTGAGTTGCAGGCTTGATCCCCAGTAGGGGGTGTGCAGGAGGCAGCCAGTCAATGTTTCTCATCATTCATGTTTCTATCTCTCTCTCTCCCTTTCACTTCCTCTCTGAAATCAGTAGAAATATATTTAAAAAATAAAGTCATATCCTTCTCTCTGAGCCTCACTTTTCTTGAGTGGAAAATGGGAACAATGGCATATGAGGTATAATACAAATATAGGGGAATAGTTGTTATTGGAAGAACTCCTTGGTGTGGGTGTTGAAGTTGGAGAGATTGGGGATTTGGGACAAGCAATGCAACTATCTTATTCATTAAGGTATTTGCTGGTGGGACTGAATGGCATTATAACAGAGAGGTTTTGAGTGCCAATTCTGGCTTAAAAACTGCTCTGTATCAGTACTCTATCTCCTAATTACTTGGTGGGCACACCCTCTACTTCTCTGAGCTGCTGTTTCCTCTTCTGTTAAGTGGGTATTACAATAATACCTCCTCTGAAAGTTGATGTTGGGATTAAATGGATCCTGGATGTGAAACTGTTTGGAAGTTGAATGGGCCTGTGGTGCTTGATCTGGGGATCAATTCTCCCTGAAAAGAGCTGGGATTTAGTGCGTGTGTGTGATGTGTGCATGTGCAACCCTCAACCTTTGGACCAATATTGGGGTTTAGGGTGCCAGGCCCCCTTCTGTTAACCTCCCCAGTAGGGATGCCACCTACATCTTTTGTCCATATCTTCAATCACCTTGCTCTGGTTAATACCAGACCCCAAATCAGGCCATTCTGAGCTTTCCCAATTTGTGCCCCTACCTCCCAGAGTCTCTGCTCCCTGAATCTCTTCCTCCTCCTCCTCCTCATTGGTCTCTTCACCCCAAGTCTTACTGTCTGAGACTGTTAGCTGTGGAAGGTTAATGACTCCTGGCAGGCTGAACTTGAATCCCTCAAATGGTAGATGTTGGAAAGGTGTGACTTGCTGGAAGGAGAGAGACCACCCACTGAGCTGTACACCCTGGGGCAAAGTGCCTTCCCCTCCCAGGGACTCAGTTTCCCACTGAGTTCCGATCCACGAGGGTGGGGACCCAGTTGTCCTTTGGAAAAAGGCCTTGTGATGTGTACGGTGTCTGTGTTTCCACGTGTGCATTTATTGTTATTGCTCAGTATAGTGTTGAAAAGGCAGACAAATCCCATTAATTACAAAAAGCACAAGCCAGAGATACAGAGAAATAAAGAGTGTACAATAAGAGCACAGTCACTTCCCAGCCCCGATTGTCCCAGAACCCCGCCACCCAGAGCCTGGGCAGCTTGTGGAAGCTGGAGGCGGCACCATTTCCTCGCTACTCTGTTATAAAATATGTGCACACAAGAGTTAGCAAAGTGTGGCGACCCCCGAGAGGAAAGGTTCAGAGGGGAAGCACCACAGGCATTACAAAACAGACTTAGGGGGCTGAGAAGGGCAGCCTCAGATATCTTATTTTCAGCAGAAGGGTAATGGCTGATCCTCAGGGCCTAGGATCCCCCTCTCCCCACTTGGGCAAATAGGATCTCTACATCAAAACCAGGAGAGCTTGGTTTGGAACTTGGGAAGGACCTAGGGATTTCTGCTGTTGTCTGATTTAGGTCTTGGTTCTGGAAGACCCAAAAGCCTTCAAGAAATGCACCCCCGCCCCACCCCCCCCGCTCGGATCTTCTAATGGTGGGGTCTTGGACACTATGGAGAGAGTTTTGGATGGGAGGCATGTCACAGTGAGCCCAGCTGACAGCCTCCTGTAAGTAGAACAACAACAGTAGGGGGAGTCAGGGTGGTGAGAAGGTCCAGACAAGAAATTGCTGCATCCCAAAGGACGTATCAAACAACCACTGGAAACTTTGAATAAAGAGCAAAAAAGCAGTTCAGGAAAGGGAGGCAGGAATAAACATTTCTCCAGGAGGAGAATTAGACAACCAAGTGGGTGACTTTGGGTCCCAAACTGGGATTGGGGGCGGGGGGAGGGGGCGTTGGTGGCCTCTCCTAATGACACCGTGGCCGAGGGAGCAAGCGGGAGTATGAAATGAATGTTGGGCTTCCCTCAAGATTCAGGATGCCCCTTCTGTTTCTCCACACAGGACACACTATTTAGGGACCCCGAGTGGACAGTACTTACAATGGCAGGAAGATGTTTACACACAGAATGACAGGGCCCAGTATTTGAGGTGGGTGGAGGACTCGCAAAATTTTAGTTTACTGGGAAGAACAGATGTGAGAGAATAATCAGGAAATTTTGTTAAGAGTGAAGAGTACTTATCCTACCACGTGATAAAACATTATAACATATCCTACCATATAATAACACATTATATAAAGCGACAATAATTAAAGTTATGTGGCTGGTGCCAGATGAGACACCCAGAAAGGGAATAGAAGGTAAATTCCAGAAACAGACCCACATCTATCTCTGCTATCAGCAGAGAGCAGTATGATAAAGGTGACATTTCAACATGGTTGGGGAAAAGAGGGGCTGTTCACTGACTGGGATACTCAGGATAAGACAGGTCCAGAGTCCTGGCATCATTGCAGTCACTGCCATTGGTCTGGTCTCATAAGTAGGACAACCTCCCTCTTGCCAACTCTATGCTCTGGCTGGGACAAGGGGCCCAGGGGCCATGGTGAAGGGGCCAGTCAAGGCTGCTTCTGCGTCAGGGAAAGGGCTGCCCAAATTGTGGGAAGGAAACCCCTCGGTTTCCGCCCTGCCCGCCTCCAAAGGCAGGTGACTCTACAGCCCCAGGGGTCACTGGATGGGCCCTCTGCTCCTCC